CGGGTTGGGTAAGTAGAAGGGTGGATAATTAGTCTTAAGGTGCTGTGAGAGGAGAGGGAGAAGAAGGTGCTGTCGAAGAGCTTTGATTGGGCGATGTTCGGCAACCAGGGGAGGGGGTTGCGGAGAGTCACTACACAACGGGAGTGGACTACGGTGGAGGGCACAGAGTTGTGCGGGTGATCGTAGCGTTGTTCTAACGTTCTTATCGCTTGCTTGTGTTCCCAGAGAAAGTTTGCAAGAGTTTCCACTAAGGAAGTCGAAAAAGAACAACTTGACAGAATTGAAATGATAAGTTGGTAGTACAATTGAAGCATGCAGAACAAAAGGAACTAGAAGGGCATTCAACTCCTAGCAAGGGCGAAATCTGCCAGCGCAGCAGAAGAGCGGCTTGCCAACGTTGCAGCAGAGTGTTCTACCAACGTTGCACTGCGCGCGGTCTGCTTGCGTTGCAGTCGCAGGTGACTATCTGCAGTCGCAGGTAACTATCTGCAGTCGCAGGTTGTCTATCTGCGCAGATGTGCGCACCTACCAAGTAGGTGCAGGTTGGCGGTTTCACCGTCAGGCACATTGCGCAGGTGCCAGGTAGAAAACGTGTCCTCAGTTTCTTCAAGTGCACACCGTCGAGCATGTTCTGCCGTTCCGCAGGTAGAACTTCGCCAAAATCTCCTGGGCGAAAGTTCGCACACCTCCGCAGAGTTTCGCAGAACTCTGCAACTTCGGTCGAAGGACTCGCCATCGCTCGGTCGAACAGAGTTCGACGAGCAGAGCTCCTCGACCAGAACTCTTCGACCAGAGTTCCTCAACGCGAACTCCTCGACCAGAGTTCCTCGACGGAAGTTCGTCGCGCAGAGATCGTCGACCAGAGCTCATCGCGCAGAGCTCGTCGACCAGATTCCGTCGAGCAGAGTTTGCTCGACTGCAACTTCCGTCAAACTGCAGAAGACTACTTCTTCTACCAATCCGTCGAGAACTTCCCGTTGACGGCGAGATCGGTTGCGCCCAAGCGAGGGCGGGGCCTTTCTATTCGGCAGGGGTTTGATGGAGGATCAAAATGGCGAGCCTCCAGGCTCGACCAGTACGAACCAGGCAAAACACTTCGGTGAGGCTAGAGAAATGTGAAAAAAATGTCGAACGTAAGCCTAAAACGCGACGCGAACACCACGCTAGGTGGTAACCCGCGCCGCATCCTCCCCCAAAACCTCCCCCATGGCGGAAAAAATCCGCCCTAGTGCCCAGGGAATCCAAATTGCACTCCCGTGAGTGGCCTCACCCACAGGGGATACAAAATGGATCCCCTCAACCACGAAATTCTTTTATGATTGTACCCCACACTCTAAACTAACGGGTAAACCGGATATCGGAAATGTATTGCAAAACAGCTGTATTCAATAAGGTCAAATGGGTGAGTACGACATTTAAGAGATTCATTTTAATTTATGGTGTTAAATGTTTTCAGGAAGTGATATACCCAATCCCATCGCAGCAGTAAAATGAGGCAGGGAGAAGAAAAGCTGTTCAGCTCGCGAAGTTTCGTTTCGTGCGGCTGCAGTTTCTTGGGCCCCCAATTCCCGCGTCGCTCATCTTCGCCTTTTCCCCCAAAGGTTCCGCTTGCGCCTGGACCCCAGACTTGGAGTCAACGCTGGTTGACTCCGAGTTGACCACCCCGAAATAGGGAACCCTAGCTAAGTAGGGCGGCTGGCACAGCTGGCTACGACTGGGCTACCGGGACAGCGCCCCGGACTACAGGTGTTGCGGACGACAAGCCGGCAGCCTCCGCTCAACCTCCCGCAAACAGTCCCACCCCCCTGATACACACCCACTGCTACACCGCTAGCTCTACTCCCACGCACCCCCCCTTAAACCCTAAACCTCAGTCTCCCACACATCCACCCCCCTCAGCGACAGCTGCAGCAGTGGGAGACGAAGGAGGAGGAGGAGCAAAGGGAGGAAGGAAGACCGGCCACCCCCATACCCGCCACCCCACAGCTCGCCCCTCCCGTCGTCCGTCGAGGCGACCTGTCAGAATCCGGGATTAGAACATAAGAATAATATTCTGACACACCCCCATAGCCAAAGTGGGGTGTAATCAGCAGAGCAGGCAAAGCAAAACAAGCTCAGGGTGGATCACAATGTCACCACACATTCTGAGCACAAGTTCAAGAAGAAATAGTTTAGAGTTCACAATTATAAGCAAAGCTAGTGGTAGTCACAACGGGCAAGTGAGGAGGAGGAGGGAGAGTGAGGGGAGAGGAGACAGGAGGCGACGGCTGAAGCTGCAGACACACGGGCAACAGGAGGCAGACTGGCACAGCGGCTACCGGACAGCGCCCGGACTACAGGAGTAACAGGCCCCGCGGCTCAAATAGCGGCGGGCGGGCAACGGACCCACGGGCGGCTGGCACAGCTGGCTACGACTGGGCTACCGGACAGCGCCCCGGACTACAGGTGCTGCGGACGACAAGCCGGCAGCCTCCGCTCAACCTCCCGCAAACAGTCCCACCCCCCTGATACACACCCACTGCTACACCGCTAGCTCTACTCCCACGCACCCCCCCTTAAACCCTAAACCTCAGTCTCCCACACATCCACCCCCCATACCATGACAAAGTTTGAAGAAAGAAAGAGGAGTAAACTAGCAGAAATGGGGATACAAATAGCAAACCCTAGAAGGGTTGTACTCGCTATAGAGCACCCCACTACAGGCTAGAACATAAGAATAATATTCTGACAAGAAGCAGAGAAGCGGCAAAGTCAACAGCCATCGACTTTCCCGCCAAAGTTGGGGTAACCTTGGGGTACCCTCACGAACTGTAAACCCTAGCGATTTGTCAGAAATAGTTACGAGGGTGGGCGTTACTGTTGGCGGTTGTCGCTGACGTCGCCAGTGTTTAGAGGTAACCCGTAGGGAACCCAGTGGGAACTTGTGGGTTACCTCGTGAGGGTGACCTTGGGGTCCCCCTCGATTTCAAAGTGATTCTTGCGGTGTGAATTTTGGGATGGCATCATTGATCAACGGGGAGAACCTTGCGACGGGAAGTTGAATCAAGCGCATTCTGAATGTTACGTATATGACAGGAAACAACAACTAATAGCGAAGCCAAACCGATACCCATGCAATTTTACTGAAAATGGGACTATAGGGTCCCGTTTGCCTGGGTTTTGAAGGTTTTTCCACAAAGGCCCACAGCGCGTGTGTTTTTCACCGGGACTCTAAGCAAGAACATTTGTAGGATTCAGCTTAGTGTTTGTTCACTCCTGGAATTCAACCATTGAAGTCAGGAAGTCAGAGGTCAAGACTGACGTTTGCTGACGTTAGCACTAGTTTTGGATGGGTATTAAGGACAAGGTACAGAAAACAAAGGGTATTACAGAAAACTCGCCAGTGCGGGGGCTGTTGTGAGATGCCGTTACGATATGATTTCATGGTTGTTTCGTTTCCTTGTTACTTATCCTCCCGTGAACGTACCTTTCTTTTGCCTTTCCTGGTGTGCCACGAAAAAATGGAACTTGTACAATGCACGTCGTGCTTTCTGTATGAAGGATCTAAACGAGCTCATGAGAAGAAAGCTGCCATTCTAATTCAAACTGACTGAAGAAACCACCTGCCTCGCCAGCTTCGCCATGAGAATACACGACTTAAGTTGGAGACTAGAGTATTGTTAACACTTATAAATTACTGTATATGAGGACGGAGCGGATGCAGCGGTTTGTTGTGTGAACAGAAGTGATATGTATGTCTATGGGAGCTAAGTTAATTGCAATTCTGACATCTTCAAGCAGCTGTTCAAGGAAAGGCGACTGGGCAGCTTGTGGGACATGAAGTAGATTCTGCGGCTTGTGACGGATTCTGCCATGCTCCTTGCGTTGGGTTCCGACTGTTTGCTGCTGCTGAAATACACGCCACGCCACTAACCGTGTACTGATTCAGGAAAGTTCACGCTCCATAGCTTATTGTTGTTGTGCGAGAAAAGGCTCAATTGAAGAGTTTCATTGTGAATTACACTTCAAAGGGCTTGCCCAAGTGAAAATTCAGATTCGGGAGGGGCCTGCATTTCACCCGTGCGTTCAAGCGTGATTTTCTCCAGCCAGTACAAAGCTTCTTCTTGTCGTGCTACTCTACTGTAGTCTTTCTCACACGAATGACTTTCTTGCACTGTAGCTTCCGAACAAATTGAGATGCCAAGAGACAAACTAAAACAGCTCACAATATTGGATGCATGGAAACCGATGAAAAATTGCGCCTTTCCCTCAACTTCCTCCAACACCTCCCCCTTCCTCCTCCCTCCCCCTCCCCCACCCCTCTGACCCGACCCACCTGTGCAAAGTTCGTGTTTTCCCAGACACCCAGCCATTTCAAGGTTGCCTAGAGAGGACACCAACTCCACCACACGAAGTTGAAGCAGGTCCACACACCCACACATTGGTTGGGGTTTCAAGGTCACCACCAACCTGTTGTCGACTCCAGTGAGCACAGAAAACCGTGAACTTCCGGGCAAACAAACGGGCATTTTGATGTTCTGGTTGAAAGATCTGTTCACCACAATGGTGGTCAGACCCGACATGTACGTTTACTGAGTCAAAGGTACAGTGCACAATACAAGCTCGCATTGTAGCCTGGCACTTCCGGGTGACACCGCACGTAAAAAAAAGACCAATGTACAGTAAATCAAGACCATGGATGGATGCCGATAGCAGCCAAAAGGTTTCCCCGCAACCAGGCAATTCTTCTGATTCACAACAAAGAGCAGCATTTGTTGCTGGTTCTGTCATACTAGTAGAGTTAGGTCAAATCATCTGAACTTTGGACGCCATCAGCTTATCGTAACAAAGCTCCAGCTTATCATAAAAAGGCTAGTAGTAGTAAGTACAGCTTATCATAAAAAACCCCGTCGACGAGTTTCGATCTGACGGCGAGAAGTCGCCCAACGCGTCGATAGTCGCAAACGGGTCGGCAAAGGCGACACACCAGCGAGGTTGCCGAGTCGGTCGCTGACGGTACAATGACATCAACGGCTCGGCAAGCGGGACCGCTATGGAATGCAACGGTGCGATCAAAACCCAGTTGAATTCTCTAGTTAATGAAATTCCCCGTTTTTTTTTTTTTTTTTTTTATAAATAATAATGATATCCGCCGGCGGCCCGATCCCCTGTTACCGTCAGTAGTATTGTTCCAAACCCACTGGCCGCAAGACTGCTGCTTTATATATCCATGTCGACTTTGGAGTTTCTTATATTTACTAAGATCGGCCGTCTCGTGCGACAGGAGGACGTAATTCTTCTCAACCACGTGGCGCGGCACGGCACCAGCCAATGGGGAGTTCTACAGGCATCCGGTCTGTTGCCGCGTCGCGATAACAAAGCGTGTTGCAACCGATTTATCGTTCTAAAGAGGTATCTCACATTCAAGCCGGGAATTCATCGCTCCATTGAACGAGTGACAGCCTCAGGCTGCTGAGCAGCAACACAATTCAATCGCAACATTACAGTGTTACGCCAGAGATATGTGTTTCCTGATTTATGCGTTAGATTCTATTTGTGTTTGGCTACTCAATGTGCGATTCCGTGCTTCAGGAACTACCAGCAGAACCGCATAAAGAGTTCTCAAGTCGTGAAAGCCCTCCTGGTAAGACGTGTTCTCATGCTCAGAGCATTTTGTTTATGTACACAGGGTGGCGAATGTGTAAGCGTGCATTTTTTGTTCCTTCTTAAAGTGGGATAACTTACTAATTATGTACTTTTCTTTTTTCCTCCACAGTCTGCACTAAGGAATAACAATCAAGTGAAGACATGTCCTGGCCAAGCACGCACGATCCTTCTTCCAGAGTTGGCTAAAATGCCACTGACATCAATCACTTCAGTTGCTGACCCTGGAGCTGCAACATCACAAGCACCAGCGCGATCGTCATCACCACCTCCATCAGCAGCACTGAGGAGAAGAAACAATCAAGCCAAGACATTCCCCAGCCAAGCACACACTATGATCCCTTGCCCAGAATTGGCTAAAATGCCACTGACATCAACCACCTCAGTTGCTGACCCTGGTACTGCATCATCACAAGCATCAGCGCGATCATCGTCGTCACCAGCTCCATCGTCGTCACCATCTCCATCAACAGTACCAGCTCCTAAACAATCAGAACGAAGAGGATCTCAGCACGGCTTCCTTAAAACCGCCATGGAAGGCAATGCAAGCGAGAGGGGGGAAGATGGGGCAGTGCAAGGCGCAATGTGCGGTAACAGGACTTCTGTCTGCCACACTGAAGCTACCATTCCAAGAAGTACAGGAGATGTATGTGAAGAGGCGAGCCGGAATGTTGGTGGAATTGTCGATCATCCGGAGATGGACCATTTATCGCTAACATCACGCGTCAACCAATCTGCGGCAAGCAGCACCGAATTCTTGGCATGCTTGTTGCAAGCTGCTGCAGCCATACCGGCAACATCCATACCAGCAGCACCTGAACCAACAGCGTCGGCATCCGAACCTGAAGCGTCGGGGGGGGGTGGAACAATGGCTTGCGGCACGCTGAAAAGACCATCTTCAGACCTGTGGAGGGCCGTTGACGATCATACGCTGATCTCATCAAAGAAAATCAGATCTTTACCGGAATTCTGGCACGAAAACGAGGATCGTGCGGTTCCAATCTCAGGCAAGGCGAATGCGCACCCGGGGAGCGATACAGGGACGGTGATTGTTGGAATACCCGAGCCTACATGGCGGACAGGGAGCTTGCCCCTGGGAGAAGACGGCCAATCCCAATGGTAGGTGCATGTACTGTCCTGTTTAAGAAGGGGAAGAGAAAAAAGGGCGCAGGCAACGTTGACAGAGAATAATGGGCCGAACGTTTTTGGTCAGCTAACCTTCTTGCTGTGTATCACATTTAGGGTTTAAACTTGAGTTCTGAATTTCAGTATTTTTCCTCCTTTCTGTCTCTCTTACTCTGCAGGGCTCCATATGCTGGGCTGCCATGGTGTGAGGGAGGCTGCCTGCACCCCTGCCAGAGCTGCCAGGCAGCCCAGCCAAACCTCTCTGGGCTGAGACCAGATGCCCTGCTAGACGCTCTCTCCAGTGGCCCCCTCTCCATGGTAAACCTGCCCACTCTTCCCATTTTGTTTCTCGGATTACCAAGCGTGGTCTGGTTTGGGCTTGTGTGCAATGCTGGGCGTTCGTTTCTGGTCCCACTGTACTTGGTAAAGGTACATAGGGAAGCAGCTACACATGTCGCATGACGTTGGAGCAAAATGCAATAGTTTTAGGAGTCGTCTCGTCGGTCTAAGGCTGGATATTCTGTTAAAAGCTCCATCTGATGACCCTTTCTCCGTGGTAACATGTACACTCATGTCTCTCTCTCTCTCTCTCTCTCTCTCTCTCTCTCTCTCTCTCTCTCTCTCTCTCTCTCTCTCTCTTTCTCTCTCTCTCTCTCTCTCTCTCTCTCTCTCTCTCTCTCTCTCTCTCTCTCTCTCTCTCTCTCTCTCTCTCTCTCTCTCTCTCTTACATGCTCACACACACGCACGCACACTCACTCACTCTCTTGCCTGTGCCGATCTAACCCCTGCCTAACGTTTGCTCATCTTGAGTGATGTTTTCCCATGTGCTTTTCTGACTCTGTTTGTTATGGCAGGTTCTTTTTGGGTTTTGAGTGTGGAGCCAAGCTCAAGATGCACGGCACATCGTAAGATGTACAAGTCATGGGGAAGCCAAAGTACGATACTAGTAAATAATGAACATCCACAAAAGGATTTGTGTAGTTATATAATATATTTCAGTATCTAGTTTCCTAAATTCACCATCTTGTGTGCATATTGAAGTGTAACTGTCGTTCCAAAGTGTGAAGCTACACTCCCAAGTGGTAGGCACCAAACCGGCGTCACTCGTATCTATTTCAGTATCTAGTTTTGGGATATAGTCATATATGGTTATCTTGTAAGAGCGTATTCCTGTCCTCCTGTTACGAGTGCAATTGAGTGAACGAACGAGAATTGCACTATCGAAGCAAGAATCCAATGAGCGAGGGCGTGAGTGAAGAATATATAGCGAAACTACAGTGGTAACGGTTAATGGTATGTGGTAGTCGCGCGACGAGCCTGGGACTGAGGTTGGGAAAGTGTCGAGGCGTAGGCCCGGAGCGCGGGTTACCAGCCGAGCCGTGAGGTCGGGATGCGATGTGCGAAAAATGGCGGGATGATTGTCGATGCGATGATCGCGAGTGGTAACGGTGCTGACTGAGGTGCTATAGTGATGTACGCGTTGAGCAGGGATGCGAAGTAAGGAAAAGGGATTTTCCTTACACTACCCCCCCCCCCTCCTAAGGAGGCCCTTCTTACGAAAGTGTGTGGACATCTTTGAAGTTTCGACTGCGGAGATATTCGGTGAGGACAGGGTGGTTTTCAATTTTGTCCAGGGGAACCCAGTTGTCCTCGGTAGGTGTACGGTCTTTCCAGCGGATCAGGAACTCGATCTTTCGGGCTCCTCGGGGGTCGCGAACTCTGTGACTCAGGATTTTGTTGGGGGTGATGATTGGTTCGGATGGTGGTCGTGCCATGCTGGATGGTCGGTGTCGTGGGAGTTGGCCGGTGGATGGTACGTAAGGGCGAAGCAAGCTGACGTGGAACGAGGAGCTGACGTACCAGTCAGCAGGGAGGAGGAGGTGCGCGGTGACAGGTGTGATCATGTGGCTAATTCGAAATGGCCCACAGTATCGGGGGCGGAGTTTTGGAGTGATGGGCAGGCGGAGGTTTTGAGTGTCGAGTAAAACGAGGTCGTCGGGCTGATAAGTGACAGGTCTACGGTGGCGGTCGGCGTTGCGTTTAGCGATGATGCTCGATTTTTTGATTGCTTCTGCTGCCCTGGTCCGTGCTGCTTGCAAAATCTCGGCAAATTGTTGCGCACGTGGAACGGGGTTGTCGGGATTTGGGGTCATGGGTACTGTGGGGTCTTGTCCGTAATTCAGGTAAAACGGCGACTGTTGGGTCGTGGCAGATGGCGCGTTGTTGTATGCGAATTCGATGAGTGGCAGCTGCTGCTCCCACGTGTTTGGGTCGTCGCACGTGGCCCTAATGAGCTGCTCCATGGTCTGGTTTGTCCGTTCTGTCTGTCCGTCGGTTTCGGGGTGATACGATGAACTGAATTATAGTCGCGTGCCGAACTGCTGCCACAGGTTCCGCCAGAAATTGCTGGTAACCTTCGTGTCTCTGTCGCTGATGATCGATGCTGGTATCCCGTGCAGTCGAACGACGGTGGTGATGAAGAGTCGGGCTGTTTCCTCGGCTGTGATTGTTTTCTTGCAGGCTGCGAAGTGTGCCATTTTCGTCAGTCGATCGACGACGACCATGATCGCGTCATTCCCACTCGTCCCGGCTGGTAACCCCGTGACGAAGTCCATCGTCACTTGTTGCCAAGCACGCTCTGGAGGTGGGATTGGTTGTAATTGTCCCGCCGACCGCTTCCTGGTTGACTTCATGAGCTGGCAAGTGGGACACGATGCCACGTGTCGTTGCACGTCGGTCAACATTTCAGGCCAGTAATAGTACCGCTGCAGCTGCTACCGTGTTTTCTCTACTCCGAAATGTCCCGAGGTAACTCCGTCGTGTGCCTGCTGTAACAGTAATTCCCGTAGTAGTGTGTACCCTGGTACCCAGATGCGGTCGGTTCCAGCTTTTACGTAATAGACTCCCTTGGCTGCTGCGAATTGCTGCGAGTTTCCTCCTGTGAAGAATGGGTCTGTTTGATATCCGTGGGTAAATAGTCCTGTCAGTAGCGGACTGGTCTGGGCGAGTAGTATCGCATGGATCTGGGCAGTGGGGCGGGTCAGTGCGTCGGCGATATTGGAGGCTCCTTTTTTATAGGTGACCGTATAATGGAAGTTCGACTCGAGGAAGTCGAGCCACCGAATCTGTCGTGGGTTGAGGTGGGGCTGTGCACGGAGGTACTGTAGGGATCGATGGTCTGTCCGTACTGTCACGTCTGCGCCGGTCAAGTAGCAGCGCCACACTTTGAATGCATGCACGATCGCGAGCATTTCGCGGTCGTGTATCGGGTAATTTCGCTCAGGCGGATGCAGTTTGCGTGATTCGTAGGCGATGGGTTGGAGGCCGTTGCCGAAGTCCTGTAACAGTACGGCTCCGATGGCGATGTCGCTCGCGTCTGTAACAACCTCGAAGGGGCGATGTGGGTCAGCGATGCGTAGGACGGGTGGTGAACAGAGAACAGTTTTCAGGGCAGAGAAGGCAGCATGCTCTTTCTCCCCCCACGTAAAAACGACCCCCTTACGCAGTAAATCTGTGAGTGGGGCTGTTAAGCGTGCCATGTCGGGGACGAACCGACGGACGTAATTAACGAACCCTAAAAAACTCTGCAGTTCCGTGATGTTCGTCGGGGGACGCCACGCGTTGACAGTATCCAGCTTCTTAGGGTCGATTTCAACTCCAGCCTCCGAAATAACGTGTCCTAAAAAATCTAGCCTGTCCCGAAAAAACTCGCACTTGGAGCCCTTGGTGAGTAACCGATGTTCCGCTAAAATTTTAAAAACTGCTTCGAGATCGACTAAGTGCTGCTGCTTGTCCCGACTGTAAACGAGAATGTCGTCAAGGTAAACTATCACGCATTTATCTAAAAGTGGCCTAAACGCCTCGTTCATGGTCATTTGAAATGTGGCGGGCGCGTTGGTCAGCCCGAAAGGCATCACCGTATACTCGAATGACCCGTACCTAGTTCTAAATGCTGTCTTAGCGCAGTCCGATGGTTCGACCCGAATCTGATGGTAACCTCCTCGTAAGTCTATTTTCGAAAATACTCGTGCGGTTCGTAACTGGTCGATCAGTTCGTCGGCGCGGGGGATGGGGTACCGTGATTTGACTGTTACCCTGGGTTGACCTGGACCGTGATTTGACTGTTACCCTGGGTTGACCTGGGTTAAGCGCTCGGTAGTCGATGCACATGCAAAACCCTCCGTCTTTTTTCGGTGTGAACAGTATCGGTGCGGCGAACGGTGACGAGCTCGGTCGGATAAACTGCTTCTCTAACAGATAATCTAACTGCTTCCTTAGTTCGTCGAGCTCGGGCTGTGTCAGTCTGAACTGGCGCTGTACAGTTGCCTGTGGCCCCGGTTCTAACTCGATCCTATGGTCATGCGCCCGCTGAGGTGGCAGCCCTTGTGGTAAGTCATCCGGAAAGATACCCGGGAATCGTTTCAGTAGTGCCTGAAGTTCGGGTGGTACAGCTGCCAATAGTTTCTGAAAATCGCTCGGCAGCTCCTCTTCTTGCACTAATGCTATATCCACTGCGTACACGGCAGCTCCAGCAGCGTCAGCCCGTTTCATCGTGATGGCGTTGACCTGGACCGTCGAAGACTCGGGTGGCTGCCAGCGAGGTAGGACGACCCAGTTACCACTATTTCGCACTGTGCAGCTACCCGTCGTCCAGTCAATTCGCGGGTTATACCGTCGCAGCCAATCACGTCCCAGTAAAATGTCGTGCCCATCCAGTGTCGTTGCGAGCATTTCCTGTGTAAACCCGAAGTTTCCTCCGCAGCGGACTTTTACTCGCTCCACCTTTTCCCGTATGGCTAGTGGCGTTCCGTCGACTAAGCGTGCATCTATCTCAGGTAAGCATCGGTTAAGTGTTAACTGTGAAAATAGTAAGCAGGAATGAGAATGACTAAGGAAAGATTGGGTACAAATACAACCCTAGAAACCCTGTACCCCATATGTGCTACCCCACTATAGCCTACAGCAACTATGTCATATAAATCTGACACACCCCCATAGGCAAAGTGGGGGAGAACAAGGGGTCACAAGACCAGTCAAGCAAAGCAAAGCACGCTCAGGGTGGATCACAAAGTCACCACACAGTCCGAGCACAAGAGTAGGGCCAGAGGCCAGTTCACATGCAGGAGTACAGACATATATATAAAACTAGACAAACAAGAGCAGGCATATATATATGTCACAGTACAAGTGAAGTCAAGAGGAGAGCAAGTGAGGCAAGACAGGCACAAGACCCAGCTGGGTGCAAAAGCGCTGATGGTCACAAGGCGCGAGTGCCTTGGTGAACACATCAGCAGTGTTGGCCTCAGAGGCCACGTACGCAAGTCGCAACTGACCACGCTGCTGCAGCTCACGAGCAAGGAAGTAGCGGAGAGCAATGTGCTTCGTTCTGTGCTCCAAGCGCTGCTCTCGACACAAGGCCAGCATAGCCTTGTTGTCTACGTACAGCACTGGAGGAGAACGAGGCGGCTCTCCAAGGTCAGTCAGCAGGTAGGTGAGCCAGCGAAGCTCCTGTGCAGCCATGGCCCCGGCGTAGATCTCAGCCTCACAACTGGAGCCGAGAACCGAAGACGAGCGAGTAGACCGCCACGAGACAGAGCCGGAACCAAGGCTGAAGGTGTAACCCTGTGACGACCGCTGCGTAGCCTGGTCGTCAGCCCAAGAAGCGTCCGCGTGGCCGGTAAGGACCACTGGACTCCGCCCTCCAAGCACTAGCCCCATGCCCGACGTACTGCACAGGTAGCGCAATACCCTCTTCGCTGCAGCCATGTGCTCCGGTCGGTGTCTCCCAGGAGCAACATAGCGTGCAAGAATGCTCAGAGGGTATGCAAGGTCAGGTCGTGTGCAGGTCATCAGGTACATGAGGCAGCCAACA